GGCCGCGTGGGCGCCGTCCGCGGTGGCGGGGTGGCGTTTGTCTCCGACAGACTGGGCGCAGGGGACTCGGAGTGAGCGACTAGGAGCTCATTTTGCACCGGAAGACTAATCATCTGTACTACAGTAGAACGCTTTGCTATACTGTTTTTTAAAATTATTTTATTTAATTTACTTTATGTATTTATTTTTATTTTTTTAAATTGGACCAGAGAGGGACAAAGTGTGAGAGAGAGAAAGTGGGAAGGCAAGCCGCCAGGTCCAGGACTTGAACCGTTGTCTGCCATGTGGGAATCCAGCCCCCTTAACCGCCATGCCACTTGCCAGCCCCTTGCCATGCAGTTTTGTCTTAAATAGCAAAGTATTTGGGGGAAGTAGCTTGGCAAAGATCCTGAGGTATGGAAGCAAGAGTACGGGAGTGCTAATCCCTGCTCTGCTGCTTATGGGCCCTGTGGCCTTGGGCCAGTTTCCAGTTTTTTAAATTCACCCTCAGTCTTTGCAGCCACAAAGTGGGGATAAGGGTAGTACCTACACAGGAGGATTGTTACAGGGTTTGGCTGTTTGAAAAAGGCACTGAGAGGGACCTGCAGCTTGTGTGGTGGTTGGGCTGCTGGATTCTCACATGACGGTGATTCCAGTCCTATCTTGCTTTCTCACTTTCCCTCTCTCTAGTCAAATTAAAAATAGTAAGAATAAATCATTATTCAGGGGGAAAAAACACCTAGAAGAGTGGTTGGCACATAATAAGCATTAAGCTTTTTGTAAAAATAAACATCTATTGAGTTCTCCTTACTGCCAAGCACTGTACTAAGCATGCTACATGTGTCAGTCCACCCTTCAAATAACCCTACCAAGTGCTATTTTTATGACTATTCTGATGAGGAAATTGAGGATCAGAATAACTTGCCCATGATTGCATTACTGGTTGGTGTTGGAGTTCTCCAAGAACTGTAGGTAGTATAATAATAGTGGCTAACAGTGTTTCCTGCAGAGCGTTATACATTTTCTCGTATATAAATACGAATTAGGTGTTATTTTCTTTCTTATAAATCAGCTACACTCAACAGAGGATGAATAGAGACTTATGAGAACGAAATAGGGGGATAAAGAAAAGAGCCCAGGCAGGAAATGAGAGGATGAGCAGGTTGGGGTTGGGGGTGTGAAGCAAGGGAGATGGGGGCAGCTCCTCTGTCTTGCCCCCTGGGGCACCTGTAGCCTCCGCAGTGGGAAAAGAATGAAGACATGAAGGCAAGGTTATCTACATGCTGGGGAGAATCTGGGGGATGCTGACCATTTCTAAGAACTGGACCAGAGCAGATATATTATTTTTTTGGTGAGTGAAAAGAAGACTGAATTTGAAAGTAGAAAACACAGGTTCTATTGGTATTTACTACCTCTGTGACATTGGGCAAGTAACATTGTTCTTTTAAACCTTTTTTTTTTTTTTTTTTTTTTTTTTTACTTTTGGGCGCAGGGGACTCGGAGTGAGCGACTAGGAGCTCATTTTGCACCGGAAGACTAATCATCTGTACTACAGTAGAACGCTTTGCTATACTGTTTTTTAAAATTATTTTATTTAATTTACTTTATGTATTTATTTTTATTTTTTTAAATTGGACCAGAGAGGGACAAAGTGTGAGAGAGAGAAAGTGGGAAGGCAAGCCGCCAGGTCCAGGACTTGAACCGTTGTCTGCCATGTGGGAATCCAGCCCCCTTAACCGCCATGCCACTTGCCAGCCCCTTGCCATGCAGTTTTGTCTTAAATAGCAAAGTATTTGGGGGAAGTAGCTTGGCAAAGATCCTGAGGTATGGAAGCAAGAGTACGGGAGTGCTAATCCCTGCTCTGCTGCTTATGGGCCCTGTGGCCTTGGGCCAGTTTCCAGTTTTTTAAATTCACCCTCAGTCTTTGCAGCCACAAAGTGGGGATAAGGGTAGTACCTACACAGGAGGATTGTTACAGGGTTTGGCTGTTTGAAAAAGGCACTGAGAGGGACCTGCAGCTTGTGTGGTGGTTGGGCTGCTGGATTCTCACATGACGGTGATTCCAGTCCTATCTTGCTTTCTCACTTTCCCTCTCTCTAGTCAAATTAAAAATAGTAAGAATAAATCATTATTCAGGGGGAAAAAACACCTAGAAGAGTGGTTGGCACATAATAAGCATTAAGCTTTTTGTAAAAATAAACATCTATTGAGTTCTCCTTACTGCCAAGCACTGTACTAAGCATGCTACATGTGTCAGTCCACCCTTCAAATAACCCTACCAAGTGCTATTTTTATGACTATTCTGATGAGGAAATTGAGGATCAGAATAACTTGCCCATGATTGCATTACTGGTTGGTGTTGGAGTTCTCCAAGAACTGTAGGTAGTATAATAATAGTGGCTAACAGTGTTTCCTGCAGAGCGTTATACATTTTCTCGTATATAAATACGAATTAGGTGTTATTTTCTTTCTTATAAATCAGCTACACTCAACAGAGGATGAATAGAGACTTATGAGAACGAAATAGGGGGATAAAGAAAAGAGCCCAGGCAGGAAATGAGAGGATGAGCAGGTTGGGGTTGGGGGTGTGAAGCAAGGGAGATGGGGGCAGCTCCTCTGTCTTGCCCCCTGGGGCACCTGTAGCCTCCGCAGTGGGAAAAGAATGAAGACATGAAGGCAAGGTTATCTACATGCTGGGGAGAATCTGGGGGATGCTGACCATTTCTAAGAACTGGACCAGAGCAGATATATTATTTTTTTGGTGAGTGAAAAGAAGACTGAATTTGAAAGTAGAAAACACAGGTTCTATTGGTATTTACTACCTCTGTGACATTGGGCAAGTAACATTGTTCTTTTAAACCTTTTTTTTTTTTTTTTTTTTTAGCGTTTTGCCATAAGGTGCATGTCCTTGCCAGAGAGAGATAAAGGGAAAGTGAAATATCACCGTGCAGGGGTTGCTGGTGGCCACACCACAATCCCTTCTCCATTTTTCTATTGAGATTTTGGGCACACATGCACATTCCCTTGATGTGAGTTTTAAGCTGGGTCTGAGACCTTGAACTGTGGTTGGCTATGTGGGAGTCCAGCACCTTAACCACTCACTGGCCCCAAACAAACCTTATTTTCTTCGTACTTAAATGACAATTAAACAAATTTTAAAAATGAATGAGAGATTTAAAATCACAATGCCATACAGTACACATCACTAGATAGACAAAACTTTTAAAGCGTAACTACCAGATACTGATGAGCATATAGGGCAACAAATTTTTATACACTGCTAGTGGAAATGTGAGTTGGCACATCCACCTTATAAAACAACATGGCGGTATTGGGGACCAGCAGGTGGTGTGGTGGTTAAGGCTACTGGACTCCCACATGGCTGACTGCAGTTCAAGTCCTGGACCTGACAGCTTGCTTTCTCATTTTCTCTCTCTCTCTCTCTCTCTCTCTCTGGTCAACCTCAAAAAATAAAATAAAATAAGGACAATGAATAATTTTTTAAAAATGTGGCAGTATCTAGTAATGTGAAGATGTCTAAGGGGTCTTCAACAACTTCATAGAAATGAGTATTATAAAAAAAAACTATGCATAGGATAAAAATTTCATGCAGCAAAATGAACTTATACCTTAATTCAGTTTTTCCACAAACTTTTTCAAGCCCCCTCATATATGTAATATGGCCTGGAAATTCGACATCACGTATACATGGTGTTCTATGACTTGTAGGCACATCACTCCAAGCTGTGCCTGTGTCCGTGCATGGCATTCTTCCCATATATGCTTGTCTCTAATCCCCCTCTCCATTTCAAGAAGCTCATGGAAAAGTAAAGAATGAGTTTATTTTCATGAGAAGAAGTTAACATTCATGTAAAGTAGTTTCATACTATGCATTTTCCATGAACTCTTTAAAGATCTCTGCCCTCCTCCCCCACAGACATTTTAGAGCAGTGGTTCTCTAAGCATGCTCTGAAGATCCCTCCTGGAAGCCCCTGAGACCCTGTACATGTAATTATCTGTGCGGGACTAGATTTTCATAATATCTCTCTCTTTTTTTTTAATTGCCAGAGGTTATGTATGCTGCTGTATAAGACAGAAAGCCACATCCCAGCCCCCAAACAAAACATGGTCATTCTGTAATCCCTTGTCCTCCAGTTTCCCACCCCATCAGGACCCTGGCACATATGCACACACACCCAGCATGTTTTCCAGGCTGCCAAGGGCTGGATTTCAAACAGGTCAGCCATGTGGGTTCCAGCTTTCTATGCACAGTGCTTAACTGCTGTGCTATAAGGCAGGTCCCATCATATATTTCAATCAAACGACATGTTATAACAGATTGATCGTGAAAGGAGATGAGTACCAGCTTCTACTAGGAATTTAGATAAGAGATTTTTTTAAATGTAAAGCAATATCATTTTCTAACATTTTTATTTGGAAGACTGCTATTTTTCATTACAAGGTGTGTTATTTATATAAAGACATAGAGCAAGTTGAGTTGTCTCCTCAGAAAACAGTATGTCCCAGTCCTAAGCCCCATCCTTATAAATATGACCTTACTT